AATAATAATAATAATAATAATAATAATAATAATAATAATAATAATAATAATAATAATAATAATAATAGAAGAGTGTACGGATTCGTGATATCGACCGTTCTATTCAGATTAGAGTTTTAACGGATCAAGTTGGTAGGGCCAAGCTGGATTTTGAAAGGATATATTATGGAATGGGCCGTATCCAGTCTTTTGAGATTGGGCCCATGAACATGAACTATCTCAATCCGTGAAAAAAGTAGGCTTTGAGAATGGAGTAGAGCCTAAAGTGTGTGGACTGTGGAGAGTGTAAGAGTGCCAAATTACGTAACAACACTAAGTATAAAGCAAAAGCGATTTAAAACAAAATTTTCTTAAATCCCACTCTCTTCTAATCCTATTGTCCATACACTCTACTTCTTTAGTTACTTTTATAGTCAACACGTGGACTTGAAAACATATAGTGATCCCTCCACAGACACACAAACACTTCTCCCAAGTGTCGTGAAAGAAAAAAAAAATGAAAAAATAAAAGTGTTTAACTTTCACCTCGTATAAACACGAACTGAAAACTCGACTAATCTATAAAATACAATGAAATATGAGCTCTCCAAACTCTCAGGATTCTGATAGCAATACGAGACGAATAAACGTGAGAGAAAAAAAAATGAAAAGATAAAAGTGTAACTTTCACCTCGTAAAAACACGAACTGAAAACTCGATTAACCTATGAAATACAATGATATATGGGCTCTCCAAACTCTCAGGATTCTCAGAACAATACGAGCTCTCACTCTCAAAACATTATATTACAATGGTGAATCTTATGAATATATATGCGTCCTCCTTTGGTAGTAACTCATCAAAATCTTCATTGTTGGTAAGTTTCTTCATTACTGAGTCTTCAAGAGCGTTAAAATTGCCTTTAATTTGGAAGGTCCGAAGTCATATAAAAACAAGACATTCATTAATTGCGAGATTCGGATGATCTAGTTCTAGTTGGTTCATATCTAGGTTATTCACCTTCCATA